CTCTCCTCTCTCTCTTTCTATGATCCTTCCGTCTAATAATATATTACGGAAGAGAAAAAGACAGCCATTTGTATCCGCTTGTATTGGATTTAGATTGGACGATGAACATTTCAATATCGCATACGAGTGATACATAGACTTTAACGGAACCACCGAAGATAAAGAAATCCCCGCGTTTTCTGACGACGTTCTTGTCCTCGTGTTGCTTGCACGGGACCGTGATTCAGACGCGCGACGGGAGTGATTTATTTCCGGCGGAGCGAGCGAGACGCTTTCTGGAACGCACGATTTAAATGCGCGAAGCGCGAGCCTGTCTTCGGGGGTGACGGACAGGGTGCCACGGGGACAGCGTGGATCGCTCACAATGTCTTGTTGAAATTACAGACATGCCATGACGGAGACGGCCGTTGGTGGTCGGAGCTATGATTCGTATATACAATACTGGTAGCTCTAAAAATGAGATAATGAGTCGCAGAACACGAAAACATTTGCAATCGCGAATCATCGTCACTTCGTTCCGCATTATGGGTGACGTATTAGCAAATATGAAAGATAAAACAGCTTATCGTACATGTGCACGTGGAGACGTAGCACCACATGAGAGTTTTTGGTAACAAAACTACATTGTTAAATTCATAATATTAAATTATACTCAATTTGAATTATTTTTAATCATTTTTGTAGGTCGCCGTTACTCCTATTCAATATGTCATGAATTTAATTAAAAAGATGTATTCAAATTTTATTTATTATTTACTAAGTACTTTAATATGGACGTTGTTTTAATAAAAATAGACTTTGAAACTAACTACGGAAATGATTTACATTTTAACACACATGGAGGTTAAAAATAACAAAATGTTATAACAAAATAACTCGAGGAATTGGTTTGCTACTGCTCTTTTGATATCTAATAGTGTAGTGGCGATTGAGAGTAGCATTCTGATTATGATCTATAAAAGTAGGTACAAGCAGATATTGCTAATTAAAATTAATTATTCAAGATTGTCTAGAAGCTTTATTCTTTAATGTCAAAACTTGTTGATCGAAGCTATGGAGTCGATTGATAAGTGTAAAGTGATAATTCTTATCAGCTAACAAACTCTCGGAAAAAGATAGCTGATATAATCTAACTTGCTTGTCAACGCTTCCCGAAAAAAATAAGCAAAGCTCCTGAGCTGCGTGCGTCACCGAAGTGATAAAAATGTTATTAATATGCCAAAGAATTGCGCGTGCATCATCCGTCGAAGTGGTAAATACGCGGAAGCAAAGCGTTTCTAACGAACGCATTTCTAACAATAAGATCTGTCCTGTTCGAAGTTTTGGTTAACGTCATAATCTATTAGTTTATATGAGATTGAGAAATTTATATTTATTCGTACAATTTTTACATTCGGAATCAGACAACACGTATTAGATATCCAAAATTGTTAGCAGAGTAAAGACGGTATCAGCTACATATACATTGACACACGTGTCTGATAATTATCGACCCATCATAAACTAACGTACTTCCGAAGTCTCCATAATTCATGGGCGTATTCCAGAGTATCGCGCGACCATCTCTCCCTGAGACACCCATCCTCGCTCCCCTCTTTCGAAGACACTATCGCATTATTTACTCCTCATTATCGTCTTTAAATCATCCCGTCGCTCGGGAGGGACTTGAAACTGCCATTACGTTCCTTTAATCGACGAATAATAAAAATCATTCCGGTGCTCCACGGCGCGCGATGGCTTCTCAATAAAGACATTGTCCGCGGAGCAAATTCTTATCCGTTAAAAGGCATCGTCGGTGAGAACAGAACGCGCGCCATCCCCTTCCTATTTTCGAGACAAGGGGACGGACGAACAAGGACCAAGGAGACGTTGACAAGAGGAGGGACGGGATCGGAGATTATCGGCTCCAGGATTACAACAGGCTCGGAGGCTTCGAAGCAAACGATTTTCCTCGCGCGGGGACAACGGAGACGCGGGAAGGCGCAAAGGGAACAGAGGAAGGGCGGACGGTGGTTGAAGGCGACAGAAAAGGAGGAGCGATTGTTATTGGCTCTAAGGAGAATACTTATTGAACTCTTAGCGGCGTTTTTATCACTCCTTTCTCACGCGCGCGCCGCTTTAAGTGTTTTTGGCTTTGTTTAAGGACTCGTGTACATCCGCCTTCGCCACCCTTCTGCCCACTGCGCCGCTGCTTTCGCCCCTCTCGCATTATACACCCTTAACAGGTTACGCTTCCTCCCACCAATCTCGCTACACTTCTTTTCCTTTACCGCAAGATTTTTACGGGCTCGACCTCCTTGCACGCTGCTTCGTAAACCACGCAAAGTGCACGGCACTAAAGGGTGCAACTACCACTTAGGCTCTTCCTGACCACTTCCGGGGGAAAAAAGGCTTCGAGTAGCGGCGGGTAACTCGTATTCTATATTACCTCTCGAAGATTTATCGACTTGAATAGCTTTATATACCTTATTCAACTGGCAGTTTGATCTATATAACGCGTATCCTTCTTCTATAGTTTTCAACGACTGAAAAAAAATAGATTTTTTGGTAGCAACAAACTACTATTATTTTGTCCTGAATTTGTTATTATTAATAAAAATCTACGCATTAATATTTTATATATAATTAAGATTAATAATTTTATCAACAATCTTAAAAAGAATTTTTTAACTTCGGTTACGTGATTTATACAATAATAACATATACGTCAGACGCAGACATAATATTTTCGTTACGCTACATACATTTATATATAATTATCTACGTGCAATTAATCGACTTTAATTGCACATCAACCAGAAGCGTAACGACTCGGCATACCTCACGATGCCCCCTATACTTAGATAAAACGAAACTCGAGAAAACGGAGTCTCCCGTATGAGACGACCGTAGTTTATTAGGTCGAATATTTGGCGGTAAAAGTGAGGGATGACCGTCATTATCTCCATTCATCCGTGTCACGCGGCAGCTGTGTATCGCAGCTCGCAGTGAGATTGCAGCGGGCAGTTAGACGAAAGCAATGTTACTCGTGTAGCTTCTCGTGGAGACGTGGGTTTGCACGATCGTCGCGGCTATTTTTGCCAAGAGTGAAACCGCGTTCGCGCGCGCGCGCGCGCTTGCCCTCTTCCCCGGGGTTATTTACCCTCCCGATAAATATACGATAATGTTATCGCACGGGGTTCCGAAATCGCGGACCGGCGAATCATAATCATAATAAAGGTTCGCGCGTTGCCACCGTCGCATTCCGGCGCTTTAATGACCCGAGCAAGCCGACCAGATTCGTATGAACGTGCCGTTCGTCGTTACTAAATATATACTGAGATGCACCTATTCATCCGAACGCGACGTTAATGGACAACGCTGGAGAGCGATACGGCTGGAGAAATCCCCGGCGCGTTACGGCTTTTCTAAATTGACTTTGTTATCTATTTTGATAGAGCTGATCGAGTATCATTAGTTACACGTTCGCTACTTATAGCTGCGAGCGAGTTTGCGTGGTTTCGCGGGAACGTGGCGGAGTAATTTGAAACGTTTATCGTGAATCTAGGTCCTGATCGTGTATCTTTCTCGAGAGAAAAATGCCACGTGAGAGTTGCGAAACGGCTCGCCCGAATTCATTACCTGCCGTTTGAATGCCAATCATGTTACCGCTTTTAAATGCAATTCGCCATGTAAAACCCACAACCGTCTCTGTGTCTATAATTTATATGCCAATCTCTTTATAAATAAATATAATTTGTAAAATACAAGTAGGAAGTTCTACGTAGTGAACGACACACAAATTATGCCTAGTTTCAATGGTTGATTTCATTTCCATAAATTTTGAAATAATAAATAATTAATGTTTTTTTTTATACATATAATTTTTTTTTCAATAATGTTAACTGTAATATATTAGATATATAATATTATCACACTTTAATAAGGTCTCATTAAATTTTAATCTTAATGTTATATTAATATTATTTTAATTATAATATATGTTATGTTAATAATATCTAATAATAATATTATAAAAAATTATTTCAAAGTTTATGGAAATGTATCAACTGATAGAATGTTACTGTGCATAATTTGTGTATCATTCGTAATGCGGAACTTCCTACTTTTAATTTACAAATTAATTCAATTATATATAATCAAATTTTAAGTATACTTATAATGTAGTATATGATACTGATATATGATATAATATTAATTTTTAATATAATACTGATATATACAATTTTTAATAATTAATTGCAATTTATCGCAAGGGTTTTTTCCGGTATATTATTTTGTATCGTACTTAGCTATCTTTCAAGAAAATTGCACCTTTTCTGCACCTTTATATGAACGTGGCTATTAATTTGAAAAAAAATTTGATTGAAAAGTGCGCTATTTGAAGGTCCGAGCGACGATAGCAATCGGTTACAAAGGGGTGAGTATCAGATATGCGTGCGGTATAGGAACGTGATTGCGTAGAACAGAATTGCGTAGTCGGATAAAGAAGGAGAGGGACAATAATCCATCGAATACAGATATCGAACACGAGCAACGTTAGTCATTCACTTCAACATGCCGTGTCTGCACACAGAAATTGCACTAGCATCCACTCGGTGATTTTGCACGCAGCAACCCTCAGTTGGTTAAGCCTCGCGATTGCTCGTGAAGGAATGTTCGATTTGTCAATCTTTTCGCGTGAGCCGTGTGAGATTTGCTTTTCTTAATTACAGTAGTACTATCTTATCACCTATGTTGTTATCAATGAAGAAAAATTTTTGAAAGAAACAAGAATGTGGATACTAATAATTTTTTTACTTATCAGAAATAATTTAAATTGTTGCGTTATTGATTATTTTTGAGGAAATTATTTAATTTGCTATTATTTTTTATTTTTAATTAAATATTAAGAGAAAAGGGAAGAAGAGAGAGAAGTTCAAAGATTACAATTACCATTTCACATGGCAATACACGAGAGAGTAACATTTTAGCGGAAGGACGAGTATGATCCAACGCACCTCTTTGTCTTTGGCCTGCAGCTCCTGCTCGAGGTTGCTGTTCGGCGTCCTTCTGGGATTGCTGGCATCGTGTACCTGTTGTTGATCGCTTCCCTGCGGAGGCTGAGACAATTGGTGTCCCTCAGTCTTAGAATTGTTGTCGTTCGTTGCGGCGAGCTGTTCTTTTAACGCGGCTATTTCTTTCTCCGCCGAAGTCGCTCTCTGTAACAAGGAGAATAGACGGTAATGAATGTTAACGTTTGTAATACGTATATTAACTCAGTAAGAATTGAAAATCGCATTTTTAACTTTCTCGGTGATTTAATCAAACATGCGAGACGAAGATCACATTATGTTGAATTGCAAAACTGATTCGAGTCATATTAACAATATCACGAGATATAAATGAGCAGTATTGACATTTTTTATCAACTTTATTGGTATAAGTTCTTTTATATCGCAGACATTTGACGAACTAATTTTGAGACTGAATAGCAGAACGGAAAAATGTCATTGCTCTCGAGTTAATAATAATAAACGTTAGTCCTTTTTACCGAGACATACTTTGTAATTCGCACGAGGTTGTACTCCGTTTCACTTTAAAGAGGTTAATTTTGCAATGCAGTCAGAGAATTTTAACGGCGCAGACGATTGCGCTTAAGGTGTGCAAATTTTTCACGGTGGTCCGGATCGTTAAATTATCGTTGCGGAGCCGTGCGACGCGAAATCAATCAATTCTCGCCGGCTGCACCTAATTTCGCAGCTACGAAAAGCCGGCAAAAATAGAAACGACGGCCCGTCGAGCCGCGCGAGGCTGCTTTGATATTTTCAGCGCAGGAAATAGTATGCTGGCGTCGCAGTTTCTTTGATCCTAGACATTATAATGTACTTCGCCATTCTATAATGTAATTCCTTAATGTTACTGGAATTTGAATGCTGCCCGCGGGAGAATTTATGTCAAACCACCTGTGCGGTGTCGTCCGCAGGACAAATATATAATTATTCAGTTGATTCGAATATGTGATCGAGAATTACCTTTCTCTTTATTCTACGTATTGTGTATCACATATTATGCGGCAAATTTTGAGATTAGGTCGCTGTTTGATAGGTTGACAAGGGTCGAATTTATAAAATGTAATCGTAAATAAAATTAAACTAAATTATAGATTTATAATTAAAAGCCGAGAAGTTTATTTACGTATCTGTATGATTCTATGTTCCGTGACTATGATTTCCCGTTTCTCTCATTTTCCTGAATCGCTTGCGCGGGGTTTCCACTCTCAAAAGACCCATTACAATCTTTCTCGAAACAATTAACCTTTAAATAGGAAAGTGGTCTAAAGATACGCCAGTTGGTAGATGGCATGCTCAGAACTCAGAACACCCCAAAAAAATTTATTTTTATAGTTATATTTATATTAGTTATATCCTTATGAGGAATGTAAAAATAATAAACTGTAAGATTTCTAAGCATCAGGGCGATACTTTATTTTCCTTTTTCAAAACAAAGTTTTAAAGAAAACTACCTGAAATATAAATAATAAAACTATACTATAATATTTACTACACCATTTACGGCATTTACCCATTTAAAGATTAAATTTCTAAATATTTAAGACATTTTTTTCTGAATAATATTATTGAGAAGAAATGTTCTTCTCGACTTATTGTGGAAAGATCGTAACTCTCGATAAATACAATATAAATAGATGTCTGCGCTAATTATCTTGTTTTTTTTTCTTATGTGTATAAAATAAGAGTATAAACGTGTACGTTGAGTATATACGTGTCTGTGTCCCGGAGCGAAGAGCGATTCTGTAAATATAATTTATGCGGGTTGTGACGACGCAATCATCACACAATGATTGCCATTAATATTTTTGCGAATTTAATTGTTGCTTAATATTCATGGTGTAAACATCGTTGCTACTGTAACATGTCAATCACAATAATTAGACCCCGTATGTAGCGTTTTTGCATTTCTGCTGAACTCGCTCATGCATATCGCTATGCAAAAGAGCGACGAAGTTCTTGCAAGGAGATCATTAACGACGAAATACTTTTGCCGACTGCATCTGCCTTTGCCAGATCTCTAGCAAAATGCTCGTTAATTAGCGTGTCGATGTGCGATGTCTGTTGCAACGTTACCTCTTTATTGAGGTAAAGCACAAACAAATGTCGTAAGTGCGAAGACATACAAATAGATTGGCTCTTTCAAACCAAAACTTTTTCATCTATGGAGAAAAAGGGAGAGTTGATACGAAAATAACGAACGTATCGTTAAGTATAAAGAGGGGATTACCTTTTTAAACTTTCTCTATAAAGTATCTAATAAATATTATTCGCCGCCCCGTTATTCCGGCTTGGATATTAATTATAGCAGCTTTTATATTCAAAGTAGCTCGGCCCTCGAACCGGCCTATCCCCGGCTATACTCGCGGCGTGTACATGCCGGATAGTTATCCGGTATTCCTGCCTGCAATTCTTGTCCTCTCTGCGCGACTCTTTCATTTCCTCTCTTTTCCCGTTATTCGTTTTATCCACATTCGCGGCAATCCGATAGAAGGCATCCGGGAAGGGATTCGGGATCGATCGCTCGAATCAAACAGGTTATACCGGCTCGCCGCGTCGGAAGGGAAACCGGACCTGTCGCTTCTGCGATCAACAATTGAGCGTCAATGATGTAACCTACGATCCGTCCATTCATTAACAAGTTCGAGTTACGCTGACAATCTCGATCGACAATTCACTATCTCTCAAGTGCACAGTCTATAATCTACCTACAGTGTGAATGAAGAAAATGAATTGACTCATAGGTGTCAACAAAGTCAACAAAGTCGTAGACTTGCTATTCAACTTTGTGTAAGAGAATATTGATTTCGAGTAAAAGTGCAATTACTGAAAATAAAATTAGCAACGACATTGAAAATTTCATATAATCATTTAATTGACGGAACTCGACATAAGCATGTGTATTGATCCGTCAATGTGTATGACATCTCGTGAGACACACATATGGCGTCGTGATCGGCGAACGGTCGGGAGAGGTGCGGACGAGCGTGGACAAAGTCATAGGCAAGCAGAGAGATGAAGAGAGAGAGGGGGGGGGCGAAGAGAGAGAGAGAGAGAGAGAGAGAAAGATAGATAGAAGGAGAAACAGAGGCACCAGGCTACAGCAGGCAAGTAATGACCCATTGTTTCCTGCAAAAAGCCTTGACGATGTTATCGATAATTGCGAAATGATACGGGAAGCATAAATACATATCCGAGAGCGAGCCGTAATATACGGCTGTTCGAATGGCGGATGCGTATCGATAGCTGCCGTCTGGTAGCATCCTGCGTATTTGTCATGTGGACACACGTCAGGAAATTGGTGTTCGTGGCGGGGGAAATTCCGAGGACTCGCGGCCTGATAGATAGAGGATCGAGAGAGGATCGCCGATAACGATCGTCCTCCCGCGCGGAACTAACGTGATCGTTATATTAACAGCGGAAGTCGTTGGGGGGATAATGGTTTTCTTCGAACGTCAAGAACGATTGAGCGTCGGCGGTCATAACGCGCGATCTAAACGTAAAAGATTTTGCCGACGATGATTTATAGCGTCAAACGCGTTATCATGCCGATGCATCTTGTTATTGTTGCGCTAAATATTCACCACTGCAAAATAAGCACAAATGGCGATAAGCGCGCGTTCCTATTTTGTAATTAAACTGCATTACGATGTACGGCTAATTTATATTTCCCACTATATTTATGCATCGCCGGAAATAGGAGGCACAGCGCGCTTTTATAAAAAGCGTTGTGATATAAGGATCTCGAATTTTCGATGCAATCTAATGTTTTCGCTTTAATGAGAAATGGTGTGAATAAATTAAATTGTGTGTGCAGCGGAGAGATATATATATTCTTTTTCTTGACATTTAGCACCGCTTCAACGTACATAATATCATGTACTACATTCTTTTTTAGGTCATAATATATATTATAGATACGAGTCAATATTTAACTTCGATAAGCTCTGCAAGTAGCCGTTGGTAAAGTTTCCAAACTTGTCGAAACGGATAGTAATGATGCCATTAGTAACGAGATCGCGATACCGAGAATAATAGACCGGTCGCGTAATGCTAGCGGGGGAACTTTACATTGCCTCATGGCGGCAATATAAGTATCCCCGTTATAGTTTCGTAGAACAATCGATCGCCTTCACAACATGACGGATGTCTGATAAAAACTGACGTGGTTCGGTTTTGTTGCGTGTATGCTATGCGGCTTTGGAATCGCTTGTACGCGGCCGCCAAGAGAGCGTTCCTAGACCGTTCCGTAGGCTGCAACGATATTTTACCGTCGAATTCGTAATTACTTTAATTGGCTCCAGATGCTAATTAATGACCTAAACATATGCCACGTTATATAGATCCGGCTCGATAGGGCGACCTATACACACCGCGAAGTCAGGGATCGGGGTGAGAACGCATGTGTTTGTCATTATATGCACTACGACGATTTTATCGCTTCTGAATAACATCCTTTACCCTTGCCGCGCGTCTCGCTCTACACCTTCCATATCAGATCCAGAAAGCGCCGATCGCCGATTAAAGTGTCCGCGCATCGGTTTGTAACGCCGTTGTTCCGTTTATAAAAGAATACAGGCGCTCGTTAATCGTCCGATAATCTCTAATAAATTTCTAAGTACGGCATAAAAAAAAACTGTAAATCATTCATCTGTTTCATTGATCGTGCCAATTCGACCAACACATTAACCTTTAGCTGGGAATCGTGTAGATCTAACATTACCGCTGCCGTTAAGAATTTGATAATGTCGGAATAAAATGACAAACTTGCTTTACTCATCGTGCGTTGTTTGCGTCAGCGAGAAAACGAATCGAAATCACAGCAGCTGCGCCAACCTAGGAACTCGCGGAAGGAATGGCGAGCGTGGTAAAATACACGGAGTGGATTTCGTGACACGATCGAATTACTTCGTTACGGACGCATGTCAGATCGGCAATTGGGAGTCCGTCGTCCTCGCCTATCATTACAAGATGCTACTGGCAGCAGCCGTCGTAGTTTCGATTCGATCGTCCGACAGCATCGATTACACCAGCATCGATTACGGCCGCCTTTCAACCCTGAAGAGGGAAAGATGAGCAATCGCGATGTATGCCGGCACTTCGATCGGGTCGATCGCCGTGCCGTCGAGTCGAGTCGTTTCGTCTCGGCC